GCATAAAATTTCCCTAAGGTTTTGCTTCCCCTATTATTAAAAGCAATTTTTAAAATCTGGTCTCAAAAATTTGGAAGAATACACTCTTAAATGTGAATCAATGGTGATCTGGGTGGTTGGATTTTTGAGAGATTTTTATTTTCTTCTTTTTGTTTAGGACCCGTGGTGGCACAGTGGTTCCAGGCTCAGCTGCTAACCAAGAGGAAGAAAGATTTGACAGTCTGCTCCCATCAAGATTTATAGCCTTAGAGAAAACCCAATGGGATAATTCTACTGTCCTCAAGGTGGCTATGTGTCAGAATTGACTTAACAGCAACAGGCTTTGGTTTCGTTTTCCTATATAAATATTTGTGTGTGTGTGTGTGTATATATATATATTTATATATGAGCTCTGGTAGTGTAGTGGTTATGAATCGGGCTGCAAACCTCAACGTCAGCAGTTCGAAACTACCAGTTGTTCCGCAGGAGAAAGATGAGGCTTTCTGCTCCCGTAAAGATTTACAGGCTCGAAAACCCTGCGCAGGGCTATGGGTCGCAACCTACTGCATGGCTCATAACTTCAGCAACAGACTGAAAATCACAAGAAGGTCAGCGGTTCAAACCCACCAGCTGCTCCTCAGAAACCCTACACATACACACAAGCTCTTAGTCCCACTCTTCTTAGTCCATGAATCTAGAGTCCTCAGTCACTTGCTCTCTCCATGCCCCCATCTCTGGCACCACTGCATCTCTGGACAAGGTCCCGCATTCTGCTTGTGTACTTCTCTCTTGATGGTCCTACGGTCCTCTATTTCTGGACTGTAAGATTAACCACTCCCCTGTTTTTGTTACAAAACTTCTACCTTTACAATTGTGACAGTCACAATTAGTCATGATAACAATTATTCACTATTAAATCATATGAATCTTATTCCCATCTCTTTTCACCAGACCCATGTAGACAAGATGACAGCTATTCAGTGGGGACACTTTCTTTCCCCCTATACTCTTAAACGAAACGCCCTCTTGAAACCTTGTAAGCCAGTCACTTTGTGCCTTTATTGGTATTTAGAATAACTACCTCTCTGAGTATAGGTCAGGTTCATCAAATTGTAGCAATTTACCCTTGTTTCCTTTAATAAAAAAAAAAAAATATTATTTTTCCAGTCTTCCCCTAGTCAAGTTCTGATTATCGTGCCATCGAGGCTAGGTCAAAAGGGTACTGTATGCAAGTTTGGGTGTTCTTGTGCATCTCCCCTCACTTCCTATCAGCTGGATGCTTCACTCTCAGCTCTAGCCCTCTGTGGCTATGTGCTTGTCCATGGGCTCAAGTGTCCTCAGGTCTCACCACACTTTGGACCAACCAGCCCTTCCTCTTCTCTCTCTCATCTCCAGGTCAATGGGATTCAATGGTGGAACTCAACCCATTTCTTCACTGCTGCCTTTCCCCCTCTTCCACTCACCAATAGACCAATGTGGTCACCAGCAAGCTTACATGCTTGTTTGTATGTTCCCTTTGAGTTTCAGTCTTAAGAGTGGAGTTTATCCTGAAGGCACTTGATTGCTAGCTTTGAAGTCTTCTGGGCAAACAGCTTGCTTATTCTTGTAGTAGCCAGTGATGCTGACATTTTTGTTTTGGGTTTTTCCTGATGATCTTTCTTTGAAGATGTATCTTCTGTCACTGTAGCTGTTACAGGCTGGTCTGCTTGTCCTTTCTAGTGGGAATGTCCCACCTCATAAGGTTCTGGATGGGACT